TGCTCAGGTCCCTTCCGACCCGACCAACTATGAAACTAGGAAACTATGGGCATCAAGACATTTTTTGAAGCCGGACAAAGCACAGGAGATGGGACATATTGTCGTGTTTCTAGGATGGACAGAGAAGGAGGAGAGGAAATGGTTTGCTCATGATCCCACAAAGAAGTCAGGGAAGGAGCAGGAAAATGATCTCTGGTCTAAACCCAGGATCATCTAATGTCTCCATTCTCTGCTTCCAAAGCACCCCGTCCTGCACTGGCCACCTGTTCTCCAGATGTTTCTGATGGTCCTGAGCAGTTGTGGATCTAAACTACTGACCCGCATACCAGCTCTAGAGCAGATGGGCTCACCGTTCAGCTGTGAAATGGGCATTCAAGACACTGGAAATAATAAGCCCAGTATTTTCAGAAAGATTTAAAGTCAATTAAATGTGTGTACCCAGGCAATGTCTACATGAGAGTTCATCCTCTCTCAGTAAGTGTTGATAAACAAAGGGGAGCTTGTATTGGGATTTCGGCTGTAAATCTGATCTAAAGTGAAGAGTTAAGTGTGAGGTTTCAGCTGCCTCTCCAGGAGCCTCCATCACCACGTGGCCAGCGGGGAGGTCTCTGAGCTATTTGCGGGTGAAGCGCTGGGTAGGTTTGTGGTGCTGGCAGCAGGGGGAAAGGAGTCTTAGGAGCACCCATCCATGCAAGGGGACGCTGCCTGAAGAGGACATCGCGACGCCAGGTTTGGAAGCAGCACGTCGGGTAGCCCTGTGCCAGCCAGGGTCAGGTCTCCAGGGCTGTGATGCTGCTCTATTGTCTGATGCTGGTGGAAACGTTTTGTCTCTTGCTGGGCCTTTGTAGGGAGGCTGTGATCCTGACGGGCCCCCATCTCCTCTCTGACCACCCCAGCCCCCAGAGCGGTTCTCAGTGGGCACGTATCACCCTCGGTGATGCCAGGTGCAGCTCCCTCTCCCTCTCGTAGAGACCAAACCACATCCAGAGACCAACAAACCAATAAATTGACTTGGGCAGATGCTGCTCGGCCTCTTAAGCCTGGCGGCTCTCAGATTTTAGGCCCACTTTCCACAGACAGGACCTAACTCTCAATCACCTTGACTGCCCAAAGTACCGACAGTGCCTGATGTGAGCCCAGTGATGGGGTGACAGTCTTCCCCTCTCTGTATGACCTTAAATGCTGATCTGTTATTATTGAGCATGGTCCAAAAGTAGACGGCAGCCATGTCCTTTGATTCCCAAGCTGTAATTTTGGGGGGCCAGTCCTCAGTTATGTACAGCTATCGTTGGGGAACCTTTCCCATATGTGTATCCTGGGCCTGGTAGTTTCTCTCTTAGTTAGCCTAATAACAGGTATCATCTCCACACCAAGACTTCTAGAGTTTTGCATTTTTTTCACTGTATATGCAATTCTTGCTGTGTTCCTGAAGATGGCAACCCTCCCCCACAATAGCTGCCAGCAGGCAGTATTAACATGCAGCTGTTCACACCTGAGTGTAAGCACATTTTTTTTTCCCCTCCTGGTATTATGAAACCCCAAGTTCATCTAATGGTGCTCAGAAAAGGCCATCTATTTCCCCGGAGGCACTAGGAGCATCTGTAAATCGCTCAGGCTTTTCTCTTGCGGTTTACATTGTCACGAGGAGCTCTTGACAGATGTCTAGCTTTGGATCTCGTGTTAAGGATATAGTTTGCTCTCTAGATACTACCTGCTCACCTGCCATTGTCCTGTATGGATGAGACCTAGGTAGCAATGTGGGGCATGTGGTGATCTTAAGGCTGACAGTCGCATAGATATTAGGAAAAACATTCTCATTAGGAAGGTAGTGAAACACTTGAACAGGGTACCCAGAGAGGCGGTGGACTTTCCATCCTTGGAGCCGTGGCTGGATGATGTAGCTGGGGCTGGTCCTGCTTGGAGCAGGGGGTTGGATGAGATGTGACCTCCTGAGGTTGCTTCAACCCTCGTTTTCTATGATTTTATGATCTAATAATCATGTGAAAAAATACACGAGCGGCATCGGGAAAGAGGCCAAAAACCAGAGCTCCCGCCCTTCGAGGGCGGTGCCTCCGGCCTATTCTCTTTCTGATCTACGAATGCTTCTTTTTTTTGGCTTCCTTCATAACCCAGCTTTACCAGCAGGGATGAAGGAAGCTACCAGCTCCATCTCGCCTATCTAGGCTTGGTGATTCCCTGGGAGGTAGAAGATATAGATTCATCTCTTAAGTGAGAAAGGCCTTGAATCCAGGTGAGAAGTGTCCTCACCACTAGCTTGGAAGGGAAAACATGCATGTCTTGTCCTCTTCCTCTTCCATCCCCTCAACCTTGGGTGACTAAACCAAGGTTTGATGCATGTGACCCCCCACATTAGGTGCAATATCCAACTCAGGGTCTCAGGGACCAATATAAATGCTGTGTAACTCCTGAAGAGGGGCAGAGACCGGGAACACAAAACTCTTCTTGCTTTCCGCCATGGACCCGCGCACTTACACCTGGGGCACCATA